AGAAACGGTCTTTAAAACACTGAAATCGAATTCAGTCTAATTAAATCTTTATTGGAAAAAGACTTAGAAAAATAATTAGTGGATTCTTAATATTCTTTATCTGGGCAACTCCTGCAAATTTCACTTCTCGAAAAACGTGCATAATGAATCACGACACAGTACCACTCCAGTAAGTATAAGAACTACGCGTTTGTTTAAGCCTTAAAAGCTATTCTCGTCTAATCTACGCGACCTTACAGACTTCACGATCAAACCACAACAGTGTAAATGATGTATTAATAAGAATATAAAAAAGTATGATGGAATATATGAGTATATACAATATAATATGAGTATATATTCCATAAATTAATATAATGCAATATGAATGGCATGTGAACTACAATCAGATTTCAGTTGTACTCATCACCAATAGCTACATTAATATAAGTTTTCCATATAATAATTCTATTATAAAATATTATATAAATCTATTCTATACTTTTCAAGTTATAATTTTAAACTAAAAAGCAATTTGAAAGTATTTAAATCCAAAAGAGATCAATGTATTTTCACGTTAAATAATTTATTTTCGCACACCTGTGATCCAAAAATTAATTCCAATTGAAATTAAAATTACGCCGAAATCTTCATTAAAATTTTACAACCGTGTCGAAATTTTACTCATCTTGATCTTGTATGTACTCATCTTGTATGTATTCCCTCTCTTCAAATTCTAATTCATACTCCGGACATGGTTCAATTAAAGGCCGTGCAGCTTCATGGCATATAATACGCTGTTGAGCAATTGGATGTTCACCCCGCTCATATTTTTTTCTTTTTTCAAGAAATTTCCTCTTGCGTTCAACTACTTCAGGGGGATCACAAATCTCACAAGGACATTGTGAAAAAGTAACGCAAAGACATTCATAAGTATCTGATGAAGTATTTGAAGATTTGTTTGAAATACTCGCATCAGAATCAGAACTAGAAAATGATAGTGATTGATTCATTCCATATTTCTGGTTGATTTTGTCATGAAGCTCAAGTGCATCTACTGGTTCCGTCCATTTTGGATAAGGAGTATTGGGAATGATTACACCGAGACCATAATCTTTAACTGTTGGTTTATT